ACATCATATATATGGTATATGTATGTGAAATATATATATATATATCACAGTGAAATTGTTTTACCCATAAAAATGAAGTTTTCCTGCAATTTGAAGGAAAAATGAATGCAAATTGAGAAGATCATATCAGTCACATCAAGCCAGCCTGCTTCAGGGAGTTCCAACCAGGGCTCCCTTGTCCCCACCCTCTCTTCTCCAGCCCATACCACTCTCTCTATTTCACTCATTTTTTTGTCCTTTTCTTTTCATCAGGGTCATTAGCTATTGCTACCAATTAAAATTCTGTCCTTGAACTCTAAGGATATCTTTCTAGTAGAGGTTAAAGTTGCGGTTAGCATGGCTGTGATGTTCATTAGTGTTTTTATTTCCTTTTCAGAGTTGTCTATCATGTTTTAAAATCATATTTGATTAGAGGGTAAGGTTGTTATCTCTATTATGAAATTGATCAAGATGGCAGAACAAAAGGGAGAGTAACATGATAAATACACACAAATCTGCAGCTAAGATTCAACAATTGTTCTTTTGTAGTAGAAATGTCTGTATTGTTTGATGCCAAAGGAAAAAAGAGAAAAGTTTACCTGAGGAAGAGAACAGCTCACAGCACAGGATAGTTTCTTCCTACTTCATTTATGAAGCAGTGTTAGTTTTATTTTCAAGGCTGTCTATGAAAGAATCTTGTTGCCTTTTTAACCATTAAATTATTTTCTACCTTCCTTGACAGACATGGGATGGGATCAGCATTTCAAATACCATATTTATGACTGATGTCATTTCTTAACAGACAGTCCTGGTTCCCGCCACCCCCTCCTGGTCACAATGCCACTCCAAGCACAGGAGCCAGTAGAAGGTAAGGGGAAGTGTCAGATATAATTGCTATTCTGCTGATGGAAGAATGTATCAGACTTTGACAGCATATAATTGTGGATGTTTGGGAATAAATTAAAGACAATTTTGTGAACTCTAAGTCTTGAGGATGACTGCCCAGTGGGAATGGTGTCAGGGCTATCAGTGCCTTTGGCAGGAAACTTGACAAGCTATGAGAAGTGACTCAGTGGCTCTATTAGTTTGCAATGTTTTTCATGTGACAAACTGAGTGGCTTAAACAATAGAAATTTATTGCCTGACAGTGAAAGCTCAAGGATCAGCAGGACTGACTTCTCCTGAGGGCTGTGAGAGTGTGCTCCTGTTCCCCAGTCCTCCTAAGCTGCTGGTGTCTTCCTGGCAACCTTCAACATTTCCTAGCTTGAACAAGCTGCTTCTCTATGCTAACCTTCATCTTTGCATGGCATTCTCCCTATGATATAGCTGAGTCCAAGTTTCTTTGTTTTCTTTTAAGACAAATAGGCCTATTTGATTTGGGGTCCATCCTATTCCAGTATGGCCTCATACTGATTTATATAACCTAAAAGACCCTAATCCCATATAATGTCCTAGTCTCAGGAAGTACAGGTTAATACTTCCTCATATTCTGGGAATAAATTCAACCCTCAACAGTGGCAGAGGAGAGAACTAAGTCAAGTAGAAGGCAGGGAGTCCCATGTGGGCCCATTGTTTCCAGGCTGTGCTGAGCCCCAGTGACTGGGTGGAGGTATGGTGACAAGTTATTTGTAAACATGGAGTGACAGATGAGTGCTTTCTATTAATTTGTCCTTTTTGAGAGCAAGAATTATAACTAAATTTGTAGATTATGTGAAGGATAACTATTCTACAATTCCTACACTAGGCATCCCAACAATTCATTAAATATTTAGTAGGTGAACCATGTGTGCCAGATACTGTTTGGGGGCCTTGGGATCTCTCAGTGAACAAAGCAGAGAGCCTGGCTTCTAGCCTCTAAAGAAGCATCTCCTACAATGTTGAATTCCTGTAGTATATGTCATCGCTAACACATACAGGAAGGTGGGGCTCTGATATAGGTTCACTTTGCTTCCAGATACCCCCAAATTCTTTCATGTCTGAAACCAAGAATATCATCATGAAATATTTCCATATTTTAATGGAATTTTATCCAACTTTCAATTGTGAAACTATGTACTTGTTTAATATAACATTGACATTTTTCTAAAATTTTCATATACCTTATGGATGTCTAGTGTCTCATTCATTTCCAAATGATGGGAATATTTAGAAGTAAATGTCCTTTAATATAATTTAGGTTGGCACTATAAGGATATAAATAAACTTTAGTTGGTCAACAGACATAAAGAAATTAAGTTACTTTTTTTATACCTGCCATTGCATCTGATTATATATTTATATATATGATATATAGATCAAGTTTTAGAAAACATTGAACAATCACAGCTTGAAATAATGCCTACTTTCTTGTGTTTTATTCTTTTAAAAATATTTTACTTATTTTTATTTTTGTGTGTGAGTGTATTGCCTGCATGTGTGTAAGTGCACCCATGTCATGCAATGCCTGAGGAAGTCAGAAGGGGGTGTCTGATCCCCTGGAACTGGAGTTACAGACAGTTGTTAGCCACCATGTGGGTGGTGGGAACTGAACCTGGGTCCTCTGCAAGAGCAGCAAGTGCTCTTAACCACTGAGCCATCGCTCTAGCCCCAGTGTTTTAATCTTTCACGTAGTCATCTGCAGGTGATTTCTAGTATATGAACTGTTTAGTATGGATCATATTTCTAATTTAAAGGATTCTTTCCCATAGGGATGTTACTAGATAACTGTTCTCTAGGCAATTTCATGAACTGCCCAGATGGGGAAAATGTGGACTTCAAGTTCCAATAGTTATGATTTTTTTCCTGAATGTTACAATTTCTATTCAATTTTTCCTTAATAGCTAATAACTAGCTTTTGGTTAGAAATATTCATTATATATTTCCAAAATAACTTCTTATTTTTATCCACTATTCATTATTCTTAAATTAATATGTTATCATTGTAATAGGCAGCTGGTTATATAACTGTAAAATATGCAAGGATTGGTCTTGAGTCAATGGCTCATATTTTCAAGTCTGTTATGCTTATGGGTATGGGTTTGTTTGGAACTGGCAGTGCCTGGCTATCAGCCCTCACAATTTATGCAGTTGCTGGATGTGATTTACATAGAAGAGGAAATGAGTTTCAATGCTTCTATTTTTTTTTTTTATTTCTGGCTGACATCCATAACACCAGAACTGAGGAAAAGAGGAAATTATTGGGCTTTGTTGATCATTTTAGATATCTGCTCCTTTTTTAGAATCATGGATTATTAACATAATAGCTAAACTGAAAGGCTTCTCTCGGAGGATGAGTGATAAAATCATGCCAAGCTTTCAGTCAGGGGAAGGAGAAAATAATGACAGTATAGCAAGGTCTTTGATTCTAAAGTGCTTTTCTTTGGAGGGGCTCAAAATACGGCTTCTGTTTCTCACCTATAATGCCAATGCCTTCCCAGGGTTGATAAGTAGATATTTTAGTAAATGCTGAAAAAATAGAAGCGATTAAGGGAGTAAAGGCTTTAAAAATAGATCTTTGTCCCCAGAAGAACTACAAGTAAATGAAAATAGGTCACAGACAGATAAAACTGGGGGACTATGATTTTTATAACAGTCAATAGCATAATTCTCAACTTATTTCCCTTTATCTTTCACTAGTGCACTTGGACCCTCTCCTTTTTCTCCTCTCTTCCCTGTTCTCCAAAGGAATCATCCTGAATACCACCCCTCACTGTCTTTTCTGTTCATTGTGAGGCATGTCTTCTTGCTTTCACTGCCTAATTTTTTGCTGAAATTCCATTTTCTATCCATATGCCTCTCTTTGCAGCATGCTTAAACAGACTTCCAGACTTGACCACCATTCCCAAAATCAGCCTCTCTACCAACTTTTCTTCCCTTGACTTTTCTGTAGCTTTTGATATTATGGATATTCCTTTCTTGACTTATGTGGTAGGGAAGAAATAAAAATAAATTTTGTTTGGATTGAAAGCCTTTGTTGGCAGAACATAAACTGTAATGAAAGTTTTCAAGCTTTCTTATTTTTTTTTAAAAAAAGTTAAAATGGGAGCTGAAGAGATGGCTCATCAGTTAAGAGCACTGGCTGACTTGCAGAGGACTCCAGTTCAATTCTTAGCATTCACATGGCTGCTAACAACTGCCTGTAATTCCAGTTTCAGGAGATCCAACACCTTCTTTTGACCTCCATGGTCATTGCATGATATGGGTTCACTTACACACATGCAGAGAATATACCCATACACATTAAAAATATAAAAAAGGTCAAAATCATATTTTTATTATCATCTGTCTATCATCTATCACCTCTCATCTATCTTTACACATGGATGTTTATGCCTGTGATGTATAAACCTGTCTTTATGTGTATACTTATTTTCATATCTACATCTATATCTACCTGTTTATGTACACAAGGCTGGTGAAGTCAACTAGAGTTTAAATAATCATGAACAAATCTAAAATAAATAGAAAAATAAAGTAAAAAACTCACATTTATAGCTAAATAAAAATGCAGTTTTCCAAGAAAAGGATCATTTTATGTTCTATATACATTAGCCTTGAAATGAAAGGGTTCAGATATGAAAGATTAAGAAAAGTTCAGGGGGATAAATGAATATTTTTTAAAACCTTGTACTCTGTTTTAGATAAACATTAAGGAGGCAAGCTGTAATTCATGACAGCAGGACATGCATGTAAGGTTCTGGGCTTAAGTTAGCCCATTTTCCCTACAGATTTCTAAGGTTGTTTTTGGTCATTGTGTTCTTGGTTGGGATGTCAATGTTCTCTTGAAACAGAAATAACCAGCATAGAGTTTTGAATTATCAACATTTGTCAACAGGTTTATATATTATCAGATGCTCTCAGCTCAAACATTTTTCTTTCAGTTTTATTAAGACTGAATACAAATTTTCACTTTATTACTTATTTTTTTTATTATATTCATCTGTCCTCCTGTCTCCATGATAAGCCCCTTGTTTTACTGTTTTTCCTTTATTCAATCAAATCTTTCATCTTAAAAATATCCTCCTTAACATTTTCTGGGCAGATTTTTCCAAATCCACTTACTTGGCGCTGTATCTCTTTTTATCCGCCAATGATTTCCTGCATTTTCTGGTTCCCATTGCCATCAGCTCTGAAGAACATCTCTCTCTAAGGTCACTGCTGGTCTTGTGATAACTCCTTGTTGGTCTGGCAGGACCATGTGACGAGTTGTCCTTTCAGAGTCACAGCTGTGAATAGGGCTGCTTATTCAGGCCCTCATTGAGCCCCATCTCACACGTTTCTATATTTTCTTTTATTTTAAACCACTCTTTAGCTTCCTTTTCTGCTTCATGACCTCTGCCAAATCATTAGGTGCTGATGTTCCTAAAAGTTCAAAGGCCTGCTTCTCTCTTCAGATGCTCTGCTCTGACCTTCAGCAGCATACGTGCCTGGATGCTGAAAGCCATTGTGTGCTACTGTCTCTTTCATCTATGTCCACTCTAGGTCTTTTCTGATTTTCATCTGGATAGCCACCTGCCTACTTGACGTTTTTACTTCAATGTCTCAAAATCAATGGAAACACATGTTCACAATGATATTTATAATATTGAAGCCTAAACTTTTATCTCAGTTGACAGTGCTGAATTCTCTAGCAGCCTGATACCCTGTAAAATAAATTGTTCTAGTTTTTTTTCTGTTTCTGTGATAAAATACGCTGATAAAAAGCAACTTAAGGAGCAGAGGGGTTTGTTTCAGCTTGCAGTTCCAGGTTACAGTCCATCATTGTGGGGAAATCAAGGCAGGAACTTCAACTAGGAAGACACATTACCTCCATAGACAAGAGCAGACAGAAATGCATGCACTCATGCCTGCTTGTTTGTGCTTAGCTTGATTTCTCCTCATGATTTCACT